ATAAGCTGAAACAAAGGAAGAGTAGCCTTAAATACTCTGTTTATTTCGTTTTCATGGTTCATTGCAATTACGCTGATATTGTGTCTATGAAGTTCAAGTAATTTGTGTTATTTATAAGTAAATAAAAATACACTAACACCCAAATCCAGTTAAAGAACATACAAATATATGAATTAATTGCAATTTACAAGTAATGATATCTTTTAGGTAAATTAAATATTTTTACCACTAATCGGTTTCCAAATGCAACCTTAGTTTCATTTTCTTGAAAAGGATGAAATTTAAATTAAAAAAGGTGGGTCAAGTATTTATAAAACTAAGCAGATGTTTCATTTAATATCTAAATAAGAAGTTGAAGTTGTTGGTAAATGTATAATTTAACTTCATTGGGAAACTTCACACTTTTGATTTTAAAACATTATTATGCACTGTAAGTTTAATAACTATAATTTTTAAAATACCTTGTTTTATATTTCTTTTGATTGTTAGTGATTTCATTAATCCATTCAACTTTGAATACCTTCGCCAAGGAAGAAAGAGAGAAGAAAGAAACACTTTCAATGGGGTTCAATGAGTTTGCTCTTGCGGGCGTAACAAGTACACAAAGGCAAAGGTAAAACCACCGCCGGCGGCAGTTGACTGCGGATCGCTGACCCATTTATGCAGATTTTCGTTGGCGCAACAATGGCTTGTACCACCATAACAATTACAATAACAAAGCCAGCCACCGTGCACTGCGGCAAGTACAACACTTTTGCCGCCCTTGTTGTTGCCGTGGTGTTTCTTTTAAAAGGCTGAGATGTTGTCGCCGAGAATTTTCGGTCATTTGTCATGTTGATTTATATTTGCTCATTGGCATTAAATGCTTAACAAGATTTTCACGCGGCTCTTGGACCGCTTGACCCAAAGCTGGCGGTAACCTTGAGCGGCTCAGTTAGGTTTGCTCCCTTCCGTTGTTTCCTTTGGCCAAAAGCAGCTGACCCGATCCCACTTTTGGCCCGATGTTGACACAGCTTTTGCTTTGTTGTGAGTCGGAGCACTGAGAGAAAAAAGTTGAATAATAAAAGGAAATATTAATTGTTTAAAAATATTGGTTTGATAACTTTGGCTGCAATATTAGTTTTTAAACATAATACCAACATATGTTAATTTTTATATTTTAAGTATAAAAAACTAAACTGATTAATAGTACTCTAATATCTAGTAAGTGTAGGCATTTAAAGTAGTGGGCATAAATATTTCTTTAGTTTTAAATACATTTGAATCAATATAAAGCGCAAGCTTAGCAAGCAAATGCGTAGAAATAAAATAAACTTTAATTAATATAATATCAAAATATGAGTTCGATGACAAACATTATAATTGCTGATATATAAAATCAATACTTCTTTATTTGCCAATAGAGTATAATTATTCTTAACAGTCTTTCCCACTTTTTAGTATTTTTTTTTTAATCTAAGTAGATAATTTCTCGCTCAGTGCATGTAGCACAGTTTTCGGGGGAGATATGTTCCTTATTTACAGAGCCCCTGAGTCACTCGTTAAGCCAACGCGATGTGTCAGTTTATAGCTCGTTGGTTTGCCGTCTGGCATTTGTAATTGAAGGATCCGAAAGACTTATCTCCCGTACTGTCGACTCCCCGCTTCCCACTTCCCGGTCTAAACAAACAGCACTTAAAATGTGTTTTCTTGTTTGCCCGCCATGTAACAAGTGGCTGGCAGGCGGAAGTGAACTAGCCAAGGATTCCACGGGCGAAAGGCAAACACGCGCAGAGAATTGACTACCTGGGGATGGTGAATAGAGCCATAAATACGATCGTTTGTCATATAACAAGGGCCCGATGCCACGACTCCCTGGACGCCATGGACACTGCAGGTATCCGCCCATTAATCATGAAATTGTGGCTGCAACCGAATCCGGCAGCAAATTTCGCGGCGATACTCATCAATAAATAATTTGCGGCCAATAGAAAATGCAGTGCGTGGGGTGGCGCTTAGATTAATGAAGGCGTCGCGATTAGAATCAATTTGAATTAATGAACATTTAAGGCGTCTCTGGAGTTTGTTTGCCCACAAACACGCGCAGCGGGAGTCTTGGGCTGGCGAAAATGTGTACGAAAAATCCAAAGCAAAACAAAAGACTTAGGCAACGAACTTGGCGGCAGCGAGCGGTGAGATTTTTTTTTTTTGCCAAAATATCGGGCCCGCCCGTCTGGCTGGCTTATTAATTTCACATGCCTCGGCCATAATGAAAAGCGATTTTATATGGCCCGGCCGCTTGCCATCGTTTATAATCAAGTTAAATGCGCGCGCGTCCATAAAAACTTGACTTATCAGCCAAACGGCAAGGCCAACAAATGGCGCAAATGCATTTAGGGGGGTGCGGCAAATCGGAGGGGATTCCCCTCAACCCTCCACCCCCTTTCCCCAACCACAAAATCTGCATATCGCAACGTTTGGAGACAGTGCGACCATTAACAGAATGATGTCGCTGAGTGAGTGCAAAAGCGAAGCGAGCATTGCCTTTTTTATGGCACTTTTCACTCGCTTCGGTTTCGGTTTTGGTTTTGGTTTGGCTTGGTTTTAACTCCACTCCGCGTATTATGGAAAATCCCATACAACTTTATTGGCCAGCTTCCCGCTGTGTGCAAATATATAACTCTGTTTATCGCATTTCATTCGGCATTATTTATGCCAAAGTGAAAAGTACACATACAGAGAGAAAATGTAACAGCAAAATGGCTCAGCTAATTTAAATTGTTTTAGGTTAAGTGTTCATTGTAATCAGAAGTTTTTAAAGATCTAAGAAACATTTGACTAATGGGTTAGAAATTTATCGTGGTGCCTTATCATTTAATTTCGTACTCCTCTTCTTATTATCTAACCTTCTTAATAAATAAAATCATTAGATTTATATTTGTATTCTAACTTAAAATAAGTGGATCTCCGTTTGAAAATGAAAAATAATAACATTAAAAGGATCAAGCTAAATTCGAATGTATTTTTCTCAGTGCACTCTCTATGCCAAGTTTCTCCTTCTGCCATTGGCATTGAAAACTATTCAAAATATACCCGAAAATATCTGCTTGGCATCTTTTTGTTTCCCAATATTTTCGCTTTTGTTGTGTTTACCTTTCGCTGGAAATCAAGGAGACCAGACGCTATCGATCAAGCATGCAGCACATCATACACGGAATGGGGTTTGGATTGGGATTGGGATTTTGATTCAGCGAAAGGGGATCGGGGATCGGGGAGCTCCTCACGCGCTTGCTTAGATTTCAACACAATGGGCAGCCGGGGGTTTCGATTTCAAAGACAGCGAGAGAACCCGAGCACGTAGATCGACTCGGGAATGGTTATGGTTATATCTCTGCGGCGTTGATGCGCACCTTCGATAAGGATGAGACCGGCAAACACACCTCAAAACGTTATGAAATGCGAAGGGAATGCGAGGTAGGAAAACGAAAGAGGAAAGCCAATAGAGTGGGAAAAAGAAGGAGATGGCACAAAAACAGGAAAGAGTTGACACGGCTAATCCTGACGAATTGTTGTTAGCCTTTTTGGTTCATTCAACAATTTGCTTTGAACTAGAGTTCATTCTCCTTTCTGAGGATGATTTATAATTATAAGTAGTTCATTCTTGAGCACTACAAACAGCTCTACCTAAAGTGAGAACAAGTGTTCATTCTCCGTTTTAAGGATGACTTATAATTTTAAATGGTTCAATCCCTGGCATTATACCAATCTTTCCTAAAATTTCATTAGGTTCTTTTTTATCGAAAAGCCGAAACTAATTAACTGGCAATTAAGAACATAGGTGTTTATAATTTCCACTGTTGCAGTTTTTAATTGGTAGTAAAAGCGAAGGAGGAGTATGGTATTTATGCAAAAACCATGGTTCATTATACTATTAAGTTCGTGATTTACGAATCTTAGTCATTAAAACCATGTCTCTCTGCATGACTAACTAAATTATATGGCAAAAGCTATTAAACTCTCGAGGTTTGCCTACCTAATTATCAATTTAAGCAAAGGCAAAGCTTATAAATAATTGCATATTATTAAATAAATATCTTATCTATTTAATTATTATTTTTGCTTGGGTATATGAATTGGGTAAATTTTATGCACCTAAGTTATTTTTATTAAGAATTGATTTCATCCCTAGTTTACGTTTTAACTCTTTAAGTAGTCCTCAAATTACAATATTCCTATTTGAATTAAGCCTGCTGAGGTTTTATCATCATCCATATAATACAATGAATAGTTTCTTCCCCTTTCGCTTTGGTCCACAAACTTTATGGATGGAAAAGTGTTAAGCCAATGCAGGCGCTAATCAAATTTAGACAACGAAAGTGTTAAGTCGCCTTCCAGGAATTAGGGGAAACTAGCGACTATTTAAATGCCTGTTGGGCCATAAATCTGCAGATAAGACAATGCCCCACTGATAAGAACTAAGGGAGATTCGAGTCGATAACGTCCGAAGAGGCTGCACAAAGATGAGACCCGGGTCATAAAATCCAAAACCCAAACACACTAAATAAGCCATAGAAAAATACTCCGACATGCGGTTTTATCACCGCTTGTTAGTGTAAATTTACAAACAGACTCTGATGGGTGTGTTAAATTTACAAACACATTCACAAAGGCAGAGTTTTCCCAACAGTTTTTACTTTCAATGAAAATTCTGAGGGAATTTCCTGCCGAACGGCAACATGTTTGAGGTCGTTTGAGATCGCTGTTAGCGATCTGTTGGCCCAGCTTGAACGCAACATGTTGCTCTCTGGGCTCTCTTTTTACCCGCTTGTTGTAGTTCTTGCCTGTTAACTTGCACTGTTAACCGGTAGTCGTCGTTCTCGCAAATGTTAACTCCATACAAACTGCACTGTTTCCCATATAAAACTCACTGTTAACCGCTAAATGTAAATGTTAACACTTTTGGAAATCCAACAAAAGTGGTTTGCCCGTTCGGAGGCGGTTTCAGTTTAAAAATTTCTTCGACGTGAGCGGTTGCTGCGCGGTTTTACTCGCGGATTGTTTTCGAATTGCGGCTCCGTTTTGCCGTTAAATATATTACGATATATTCGTGTGTAAAAAATTAATAATAAATATGGATTTGGAAAATTTATTTATTTAGCTAACGTTCGAAAAGAACGACGAAACTGTGAGTGCGTCACGAGTGTACATATATTTTGGATACGTTTTATGAATGAGCGCGGGTGTGAACGAATTATTCGAGTAAGAAAAATAAGCAAAGCGATAAACAGAGGCACACTCACACGACTGCGATTATAAACCACACTCACCATTTAACAATAAAGAAATCGTTTGTTTTTAGAAAACAAATAAGAAAATATAAAATAAACAGCACGGAAATTGCAGTGGCAAACAAAACAAACGCATCGATTGTCAGGCTTGAATTTCGCACGGTTTCTACGCTGCCTTTTCCCCCCAAAACAAAAACAACAACACTCCCTTACCCTTTTTTTGAAAGCAAAGAAATAATAAAAATAAAAACTACATTCAGGAAAAAATATAAAGCTAAATAGTGCATAAAAATCGGTTTTCTTTGCGGTTCGGTTCCGTTTTTTATATAGTGTGCGTGTGTTTGTTTCTGTTTCCCCCTATCTATCTCTCTCTCCTTCTCTTTTTTCCCCACCGCCCGTCTCTTTCCCTCTTCGGAGAGAGAACTGCGGAACGCGTGTGCTTTTGTTTTCGATTACGTTTACTACATTTTTTGTACGCCCCATAGAAAAAAACATGACGAAATGTTGTTGTTGAAAACGAGAAATAAATACAAGTGATTACAAAAATATAAAAAAAATAAATAAACGAAACAACGAATGTAAAAGAGAAATTATAAAGTTCTCATCTATACGAAAAGAAAAGTTTTGTGAAGAAATATACAAAGCGAAATTCTATTTGGTGTTTATGGAATTTCCGATGGTGTTGTGAAACCAAAAAGCAGAAAAAGGAAAAACTTACTGATACTCTCTTCTCGAGCAGCAACTGCAAACGCATCTAAAAGGTAAATAGAGCTTTGGGACCCCATGCCGCTTATCTTCGGGGGAGGGTAAACAAAGCAGCTTATCTGCAGGTCCATAAAGATCTGCAGATCGCACTCAGTGTTTATGGGTGGCTTCGGGCTTCCTAGAACAAAACGTCAGAGTTTAGATACATCTTGTGATTGTCTTTGGGTTCGCCACTTACTTTCACTCCCCAAAAATTTACCTGAGTTTCTCGCTTTTCGGTTTTCGGTTTCTAGTCTAGTCTCTCCTTTTTTGTCGTGGTACAACTTTATCTTGTCAGCTGCGAGCTGAAAATGATAGTGATAACCTATATAATATATGTTTACAGTTAGTTAGTCGCTGGCATTATCTACGCGACGTTTCTCGGTTTATCTGTGATCGCTTTTTGGTTTCAGTTCGGATCGGTATCGGTTCTTAAGCATTTCCGCTGCGTTTGGACTGTCAGCGCTTATTTCGATTCATAAATCATAAACGCTGTGTAGTTTGTTTACACTCTTGCTTGGAGGTATTTTGCTTTTCCCTCGCGACATTTGCCTTTAATTTCATGGGAATAATTATCGCCGAAAAGTGCACAAAAAATTCCATTTGCATATTTATTGAGAACTCAGCTGAATAACAGAATTTCCGGTTCTATGGTGCGTCATCGGTGCGGATCGTTTTTAACCCCCGAGACGCAGGCGACCCGTTTTGTCTGCCATAACAGCAACTCTTGATATGGTCCGCCCTTTATTATTTTACAGCATAGCCACCTTATATATAAACTCGTTTTGTTTTCGTCGTTTCTGCCTTTGCTGTTTATACTCCACATATGTACCGATAAGTATGTAAATAAGTTCACAACGAAACACTTGTGCTGGGTGGTTGATAAAATAGCAAATTTCAGGTAAATAAAACTGAAACAATATTTCGGTCGGCCTGGCATTCTTCCTTTGGCTGGGAAAAACCCATTTAATTTTGTTTATTTAATTAAAGCATCCGAATTACATCCAATCGAAAAGATTTTAATACCAATCTATGTGATTATTAAATGGAATAAATGAAATATATGGCTTACAATATCATTGAAAATATAATATAGTTGGCTTACAATATCATTGAAAATATCACAGCTCTATAAAGACTGTATTTAATATTATACACTATTTATTCAATTAGGATTGCACTTCTTATTCCTTAATATCGTTACTATTTGGAACATAGCAATTATAATGAATATCCAATTGTTATTTAAAAGACAAAGAAATCCATCTGACGTAGTATTCAAACCGTCAGCAACATTCTTAGACCTTAAAGCTTAATCTTTTCCTGAAATCTCCTCCGATTTTTAATTAAACAAAACAGTGTACACCCAATCCAGCAGCTTAGAAGTTAATCTTTTCCCCCGATTTTCTCCGATTTTATTCAATCGCTTTCCCTCCGTTTCGCTGCTCACAAACATTTATCAGGCGGGGCAGGTTCATCAATTTCATGTGTGATAAATGTCGTACAAGAATTTACACAAATATGCATGTCTCCTCCTCCAGCTGCCGGGTACAAGCTGAGTTGACAAAATGATTTGTTCGGGCGCCCGATGTTGCCTTCATTGTCGCCAGCCTCATGAGCATCTTCATGATCACTGAGCGCCACCCTGAACTTACGACTAGAATCTCGGGGATCGGTCTACAGTCTGGAGCCCAAAAGCAGCCACTAATTCCAAACAGTGTAAGGCATTATTTATTTTTAACTGAGGTCATCAGCGTAGACATCACATCGTCTATTACAGAAACGCCCGCCTCTCTCGCTCACCCTCTCCACAACTGTTCATTCCAAAGTGATGTTAGCTCCCTCCGGTTCTCCAATTCTCTGTGCTCCGTTCTCTATGCTCCATTCAATGCTCTCCATCTCTACACGGAAACAAAATATGATCTTCGATCTGATATTGGGGAATCGGAGTTTAATATCAGTTGATTTTCAAGTTAATAATCTTATAGACACATTTGTAATACCACGTAGTCTTAAAATGAAATCAATCCCAATTGATCTGTTTCTCATTTTTCTATAGTTCGATGTTTAACCTTTTATATGAAAGTAGTTTAGTCTTTGAATGTGATAGTTTATGTCAGTAATTAATATCAAACTATTGTTCTTTAATAGCATACAATTCAAATTTAATCTATTTTATGTTCTTTATTAAGAATATATTGCATTTAAACTTATCGAATCAGTCTGAGTTTGAAAACTATCGTTTAAATATTTTAATCTTTTAATTTTGTTGATTTGATTTTGCGAAATAGTAGAACAAATACCTCTCATTCAAATACATTTTGAAACCCATTTAAAAATACGTTTATTTTTTCGGTGCATCGTTTCGAGTTCAATGGTGTTGTTCTTATTTCAAAGTTAATGTGCTCGGTGCTGTTTTTGTTCAGCTGTTGAACTCGAACTCTCACCAAATTATGCCACACACACACACACTCTGATAGGGGGAGAAAGAGAGGGGTAGCGTAGCGGGGGAAAGAGAGGGCGAGTAGTTTCAGTTGGGTTTAAAAAGATCCAAGATCCAAGACCCAAGACCCAATGCCAGCGGGGCCAGCAAACATTATTTGAAATATTTATGCTTGACTTTTGCGCCTCAATGACTTTTGAATTGCCTTGCCTTTGGCTGCCAGTTTTTACACACACGTGTGTGCTTCTCTATCTGCGTTTTATGTCGGTTCTTAAAGATACGCACCGATCTTTGTGTATATTTTTACATGCCGGCGCACATATGTTGCATCAATGGATTTTCTATGATCTACGAATCCCGTACCCCACCACCAGTGAAAACTACACAAACATTAAAGACACATTAACCTGCTTTTAATTTGTCAATATTAGCCGGTCTTTGGCCGTCCGAGAAGAAAGGCCTTTCTCGGGTTCTCAGGCCAGGCCACACTTTTCATTTCTTTCGGCCATCGTTGGAAAGTGAGGCAACAAATAAGATGGGAAAAAAAGCAAAACAACTAGGCAATAACTCTGCACGACAGACCCAGCATGTCTGGATGCCTGAATGTTGACCTTTTCACAGCTGGAACCATCTCTCACATCACATCGTTTGCGAGTTCGGTTCTTTTCGGTCCTCCAGTCAGTCCAGCATTTTGGCCCATTGCTCGGCCGCTTGTCAATTTCTGTCAGTTGCTTGTCAAAAAATTTGTTTGGCTGTAAAAAATGCAGTGAAAACGTTTACCACACACCACCAAAAAAAAATCGAAAAGGAAAAACAAAACTGAAAAACCAAACACGATTTTCATGTAAGCCATCCAGAAAATGATTGACGAACCGCACTGACGAACCGACTAACTTCTCAGTACAATGTGCTTACTTATAGTATTGAAAATTCCCAGTCCCCGGCTGCATAATTAACCTTTTTGACCAGAGTTTTGAGGTATGTGTGTGCCATAGTACTACACCCATGTCCGTTCGTTTGCCCGGTCTGTTTGCCTTTGTTTACAGCGTAATTTGTTGATAAATAAATGTGAAAACGCAAACAAATCGGGGGGAAACAACAACCACCGTGCTACGCAATCGACGTCCGCTGACTAATGGGCCCCACTAATCTAGTGCTCTCCCTTTTCCACTCTACAAGGTGGTAAACATATAACTTAAGGGCTCCATTCCGTTGGACACGTAGAAATATTGGTCGAATTTTTATTCAGATATTCCCTTTATGGCATACTTGAAATTTTGCCAATTTGTCTCCAACTGACACGTCTGCTGCGTAGGTTCCGGAATCCGGAGGAAATTTTTTTGTCACCTTAGAAAACGAGGTGGAAGTATGTGAAGGGCGTCGCGTTATGGCGCCATTAAAAATGAGCTAATTTAGCATTTTTTAACGAACTTGATTATTAATTTCTGCTTTTGGCGAAAATCACCAATTCATTCACGCTCGCCGGCACAGCAGGTGATCTATCTGCGATGATCTAATCCGCAGCATTCAATTGCCGTAATTAGGCTCAATTAATTTGGCATAAAAGCGGAAATGGAAAAGTGCTGGTTCGGACGGATGCAAAAAAAAAGCAGCCAAGAAAAGCCAAAAAAAAAAAGTGTCGGAAAAAATTGTCTTAATGATAGACATTCACTTTTATGGACGCGCGAGGTGTGTGCCTTAATGGAGTGAAATTTCTGGTAATTGAGCGCGACGAGCTTTTGACTCTTGGGTGCGCATTTGATGAATTTTGAACGAGTCTATATATTTTTGCAGCAATTTAGTTGGCTTTGTTTTTGGCACGGCTCAGTGCCTCGGCTTCTACCTCTTCTTTGGATTTTGCCTTTGCTTTTGCTTTAGCTGCTGTTGCTGCTGCATTTGTTATGCAAATCAAGTGCTGCCATATGTATGAAGCAGAGATACGTGTATACATATGAACTAAGAAACTGAAACGCTGCTACAGCCGGTAGTATACAGAGAAAAAAATATACTGAACCTAATCACCAGTCAAGTTGTTACTCTATTTTATATTTTTTGGCCTAGGCTTGAGGGATGAAAAATATCTAATAAACCAATAATTTGATCAAATGGCACTCTATCAAATTGGTTAAGTTGCATATTATTTTATTAATATTATAACAATTATTTTTAAATAAATGTTCTTTTACAAGATTCGAGTTTCGATTTAATATGAATAAGATTTTAGTTTTTAAAGGATTTATATTAGATTCCATATAACATTTTTTCTGTGCACTGGAGCTATAGTTGGAGCCGGAGATGGAGTTGGACGGACCGGGCCAAGTCGGTTTGGGCCAACTCAGACCGGCACACCACACAAAATTGAAATAAACTGAATCCGCGAACTGGTTGTGTAGGCAGCCCACGTACAAGGTCTTCAAATATGGCTCTTTATTTAGCCGTTGTTGCTGGTCTTTTCTAAGCATTTTTCTTCTATTTCTTGTGTGTTGGATTTTAGACGCTATAATAGCATTAATTTACCATACAATTTCATATTTATGGCCATTGTACGCTGAAGTGCAATTCGCTTTTAAACTT